TAAGGAGCACGCTTCTGATTCCTTCTAGTGCTGTCTATGTAGGGCACTTGCAAAGTTTTGGAGCAGAGCCACAGAGTATGACAGCAGCTCTGAAACAGATGCAGACAGACAGCAGAAGGCATATCATGGGCTCGGTTGTTTGTTATGTCTTGTAGTGTTGAAGAGCGTTTGAAAAACACCAGAGAGCAGAGATAAGAGGAGTGTAATGAGCCTTAGATGAATAACAAACACACATGCATACACACACACACACACACACACACACACACACACACACACACACACACAGATATTCCTTCAGCTTTTCTGATTAGATATGCATCATTATAATAATCCATACGCGTCAGGAGAATAAAATCAGACTGTTTGTGCTTATAGATATTACATTACAGTAGCTGCTATGAAATATTCTACAACGCACCATAAACACGGTCATACACTTTAAAAACATTATATTATATAGCATATTTGTCATGTTTTATATCGTATAGTGTCTTATATAATGCAATGCATGCAGTAAAGCAGCACAGAGCTCGCTTTATAGATCGCTTAAACTCACTTTTGCTTTAAATAAGTTCATTTAGGCTCGGTGTTTATTTCAAATATGGTTCATAAATGAATGCAGCAACTGTGTGATACTCAATTAATGATTCCTGTTCAGAACGGCGTTAAAAATGAGCAGGATTTTGCGTTTCATCTGCAAACGATTATTTCGTACTGAGCATTTTTTCATTTTCTATTGAAGAACATCTACAAGTTCTTAAACCAAGATATGAAATTGACTAGTTTTCTAAAAAATTATGCACATTTACGTCTAAAACTTGACAAAAAAGGCCAACGGTGTCATAAAAATGTCATGTTATTTAGTTAAACCTTAGTCTTATTCAAGCATAATATTGTTTTGATATTCATCATTTAAATGAGATAGAATTATTAACGTTTTAAGATGCATCTTGATTTCACACCGTTTAGACATTTATCTCAGAAAACAAGACAAAAATATAAAGAAACAGCAAGTTTTGCAGAGGAAAATGCTTGTAAACATTATATTTTCTTTGTTATTTACTGATATTTTGCATTATTTTGAAAATGCTACCGAAGTGTGACATGCACCGATGCAACTTCACCTGCGGTGACTTGTTTTTCAGAAAATATGCTGTTTGTTTACATCTTTGGCATTGATTAAAGCAAACGGAGCCTAAATAGTGGACACACAACTTAATGCATGCTATTATTTTCTTAAAAACTCATCTGGAGCTGACCGCTGTGCACATTTACAGGCGTCACAGTCCATTTTTGTCTTGTTTTCTATTTAAAAACAAATCTAAAAATGATTAAAGATATTTGCACTATTTAATGCATCTAATTAATGCATCTGTATTTAATGCATGTAAATACATCTTGATTTTATAACGTTTAGATATTCATCTCAGAAAACAAGACAAAAATAGTGAGGAGAAGCCTTTTTTGCAGCATTCTTCTACATGTATTGACATTGCTGATATTTCTGACTGTATTATTGAAATGTGCTTTATGCACCTATGCAACTTCACTTGCTGTTATCCAGAAAATATGTTATTTATATTAATTTTGGCACTGATTAATGCAAACAGAGCCTCAGTACTGCACATGCAACTTAATGCATGGTTTAAAACCTGCATTATTTTCAGAAAACACATTTGGAATGGAGCAATGTGCATGTCTACAGGCCGATGTTGATTTGTTTGGCTTGAAATGAACGTGTCGAAGTGTGTTTTTGTCTTGTTCTCTGTTAAAAATAAAAATATAAAGATGATTAAACCAAGATATTTGTACTATTTAATGCATATAATTAATGTATCTGTATTGAATGCATCTAAAATACACCTTGATTAGATATTCATCTCAGAACACAAGACAAAAACACATAGGAGCTTAAATTTGAAATGTGATTTATGCACAACTTCACTTGCTGTTTTGCAAAAAATACGTTATTTATGTACATTTTGGTACTGATTAATGCAAACAGAGCCTCAATGCTGTACATGCAACTTAATGCTTGGTTTAAAACCTGCAATATTTTTACGCAGCGTCTTAAAAACACATCTGATTAATGCAAATAATGCACATGCAACTAAATGCATGTTTCAAGAGTTGCGTTATTTTTAAAAGTGCGTCTGTAATTCTACAGGCAGAAGTTGATCTGTTTGGCCAACTCTATCTTTCTAGGTCTGAAATGGTTTGCAAAGTCCATTTTTGTCTTGTTTTCTATTTTAAAAAATCAAAAAATGATAAACCAAGATACATTTACTTGAGTAAAATTGGCATTTAAAACATCAAAATAAAAACAATAGTCAATGGTGTGAATAAAATAGTGTTGATTACAAATTTTTTTTTACCTACCGGAAATTATATTTAGTCTAACTCACATCAGATCAGAAATAATTCCTAAAGTTTCATAATGCATCTAAAATACATCTTGATTTAATAATGTTTAGATGTTCATCCCAGAAAACAGGACAAGAGTTTTTTTATGCAGCATTCTTTTATATTGACCGATATTTCTGAATGTATTATTGAAATATGATTTATGCACCTTCATTTGGTGCTTTCAGAAAATATGCTAATTCTATTAATTTGGTCCTGATTAATTAACTTAATGCATGGTTTAAAACCTGGATTATTTTTAACGTAGCATCTTAAAAACACATTTGATTAATGCAAATAGGGTAGATGCAACTGAATGCATGTTTTAAATGTTATTTTTAAATGTCAGTTTGATATTACAGATAGTTCTGAATGTAATATCAACATGTGGTTTATGCAAACAGAGCATCAATACTGCAGATGAAGCACAACATGTGGTTTAAAGGCTGCAGTATTTATCGCAGCATCATAAAAACACATTTGGAACTGCACCAATCCAATTTGTTGCTTTGCAGAAAATATGCTTATTATTATATTAATTTTGGCACTGATTAATGCAAACAGAGCATCAATACTGCACATGCAGCCTAATGCATGGTTTAAAACCGGCACTATTTTTAACGCAGCATCTAAAAAATGCATCTGAGTGACGTAAAGACTGTAGATGCAACTGAATGCATGTTTTAAAACCTGCACTTTTTGAACTCAGCGTCTTAAACACACGTCTGGAACTTTCTTTTATATTTACTGATATTGCTGATATTCCTGAATGTAATATTGAACGTGATTTATGCACCACTGCAACTTCACTTGCCACTTTCCAGAAAATATGCTATTTGTATTAAGTTTGTCACTGATTAATGCAAACAGAGCATCAACATTCTACATGCAGCCTAATGCATGGTTTAAAACTGGCACTATTTTTTTAACGCAGCATCTAAAAAATGCATCTGATCAATGCAAAAACTGTAGATGCAACTGAATGCATGTTTTAAACGTTGTTTTTAAATATCAGTTTAATATTACTGAAGTGCTGAATGTTATATTGCAATGTGATTTATGCACCAATGCGAAGCAAACAGAGCCTCAATACTGTAGATGCAACAATGCATGGTTTAAAAGCTGCGCTGATTTTAACGTCTTAAAAACACGTCTGGAACTTTCGTTTATATTTACTGATATTGCTGATATTCCTGAATGTATTATTGAAATGTGGTTTATGCACCAATGCAACTTCACTTATGCTAATTATATTCATTTTGGCACTCATTAATGCAACCAGAGCCTCAATATTGTACATGCAGCCTAATGCATGGTTTATAACCTAATTTATTTTTAATGCTGCATCTAAAAAATGCATCCGAGTAATGCAAATAGTGTAGATGCAGCCTAATGCATGCATTAAAAGTTGTTTTTAAATCTCAGTTTTTATGTGATTTATGCAACAATGCAATGCAAACAGCATCAATACTGCACATGCAACCTAATGCACGCTTTAAAACCTGCACTATTCTTAACGCAGCGTCTTAAACACACGTCTGGAACTTTCTTTTATTTATACTGATGATGCTGTATGTAATATTGAAATGTGACTTATGAACCAATGCAAATTGCTGTTTCCTAGAAAATATGCTAATTGTATTCATTTTGGCACTGATTAATGCAAACTGAGCATCAATACTGCACATGCAGCCTAATGCATGGTTTATAACCTGCATTATTTTTAATGCTGCATCTTAAAAACACATCTGATTAATGGAAATACTGTAGATGCGACTGAATGCATGTATTAAACGTTGCATTACTTTTAAAGCAGCATCTTAAAATGCATCTGAGTATCTGTCCATGCAACTGAACGCATGTATTGAAAGCTGCACTCTTTTTAAGCGTGTGTGACTCTACAGGCAAATGTTGATCTGTTTGGCTAACTCTCTCTCCAGGTCTGAAATGAGCGTGTCGAAGTCCTTCAGACTCAGTCGGCAGGTGAACGGTGCATCAAAGTCTAGTGTGAAGTCGTCCATGTACAAACCGTCCGCCGTCGTCCACACTTCCTGCTTCTTTTCCTCATCGCTTTCACTTCCCGCCACCTCATCGTAATCTGCCTCATCGTTGGACAGGAAGTCCCGCCCACAGACGCTCCAGTCGCCGGCGTAGCGGTTGCAGGGTGGGCTCTCCAGCCGGCCACGCCCTCTCCGGGAGACCACCACTTCCTGTGCTGGAGGAAGATCCACATGGAGCGGTGCTCTCTGACAGAGGCGCACTGATGCATTGTGGGACGCCTGAGGCTGATCGCAGTCCTCCAGCACTCCATTTGTAGGCACTGCAGAGAGAGAGAGAGCATTAAAACACATTCATGTCTAATAACGGGTGCTTTTGTGGTATTTTCTAAATGACATTACGCTAAATGACAGCATTTGTTTATTATTAATTAAGTGTTACAGGACTAAACCTCCTCCTGCAGGAAGTCTTTCCAACAATCATGCTGATGAACTCCTGAAATGTGTTTAATACTTTATTTAACGGCGGTTTGGGTGCCTGCAGCTTATGCATTGCTCAGGTGTGAGTTTCTCACAGACTTCAACAGAGTGTCCAAATCTTGCTGCTTCAGTGGGTCTCATCTATCAGATCTGAGCTTTGTTCTGTATTCTTTATTTGGTTCAGGTCAGGTGATTGGCTGGGCCATTCTACAGCTTGATTTTCTTTCTCTGAAAGCATCTGAGAGTCTCCTTGGCTGTGTATTGGATCCCCGTCTTGCTGAAATGACCATGCTGGGTTCATCTTCATCCTGCTAACATGCAGTGCATCTGGAGAGTATTGATAGCGCTTCACTTTTGTGGTGTTTGTTACAGCCTTATTCCAAAAAAAAAAATTTATTGATTTACACAATCCCCCATAACGACAATGTGAAGTAAGAGATTTTGAAATTGCTGCATATTTATTAAGAATAAAAAGCTGATAAATCACCTGTACATCAGTACTGACAGTGTTTGCTGTGAAGCTCTACATTGAGCTCAGGTTCATTCTGTCTCCACTGGTCATTCTTGATGTCTCAGCAGCTTCATTGGAGTTCACCTGTGCTCAATTCAGCTGATGGACATGATCTGAAAAGGCTACACCTGTCTATATAAGGGCCCAGGGTTGACAGTGCATGACAAAGCACAAACCAAGCATGAAGACAAAGGAATTGTCTGTAGACCGCCGAGAAAGGATTGTCTGGAGGCACAAGGTTGAGGAAGGTGACAGAAACATTTCTGCTGTTCTGACAGTTCCAATGAGCACAGCGGCCTCCATCATCCGTCAGTGGAAGATGTTTAACCAGCAGGACTCTTCCTAGAGCTGGCCGGACATCTAAGCTGAGTGATCGGGGGAGAAGAGCCTCAGTCAGGGAGCTGATCAATAACCCGATGGTCACTCTGTCTGAGCTCCAGCGCTCTTCTGTGGAGAGAGGAGAACCTTACAGAAGGACAACCATCTGTGCAGCAATCCACCAATCAGGCATCTGTATGGTAGAGCGGGCAGACGGAAGACACTCCCCGCCTGGAGTTCACCATCTGAAGGACTCTCAGAGCATCAGAAACTAAACTCTCTGCTCTGATGAGACTCAAACTGAACTGTTTGGAGTGAACGCCAGGAGTTACGTTTGGAGAACAGCAGGCAGCGCTCATCAGCAGGCTAACAGCATCCCTACAGTGAAGCATGGTGGTGTTGGCATCATGCTGTGGGGATGTGTTTCAGCAGCAGGAGCTGGAAGACTAGTCAGGATAGAGGGAAAGATGAATGCAGCGATGTACAGAGACATCCTGAATGAAGACCTGCACAAGAGTGCTCTCCACCTCAGACTGGGGCGACGCTTCATCTTCCAGCAGGACAATGACCCAAAGCACACCGCCAACATATCAATGGAGCGGCACAACACCAACTCGGTGAATGTCCTTGAGTGGCCCAGCCAGAGCCCAGACCTAAATCCTATTGAACATCTCTGGAGAGATCTGAGAATGGCTGCACACCGTCACTTCCCATCCAACCTAATAGAGTTTGAGAGGTGCTGCAAAGAGGAACGGGCAAACATTCCCAAAGACAGGTGAGCAGAGCTTGTGCATCATATTCAAGAAGACTTGAGGCTGTAATTGCTGCCAAAGGTGCATCAACAAAGTGTTGAGCAAAGCTTGTATATACTGATGTACAGGAGATTTATCAGCTTTTTATTCTAAATAAATTTGCAACAATTTCAAAAACTCTTTGTCATTATGGGGGATTGTGTGTAAATTGTTGAGGAATTCAATGAGTTTAATCTATTTAGGAATAAGGCTGTCACATAAACATCTGTGGAATAAGTGAAGCGCTATCTATACTTTCCAGATGCACTGTAGATGTTGGACTGAAGCAGCTGATATTCATGTACACTGAGGAAGGGCAGAGGGTTGCTGAAGAACTACAGAGAGGTTTCAGCTGCTGTCTGGGCTTTCACTGCCCAAATACACCTCCCTACATGTGTTCAATAGGGTATATGCCGAGGTAGTGCTCTTCCCATACTGATAATCTTCCGGTGAGCTGTTATTGTGTATTGTATTCTATTTTATACGGTTCCTTTTACAGTATTGATGTTGTAATGTCATTAAAATACATCAATTAAACAGACTCTGGCATTCATTTAGTTGCTCAAGCATAAAACAAGACAAAAAGCAGTGTTCTCGCACGTGCCCGTCAGAATCAGCAGGTTAGCACAGAAGCTCCACTGAATAAACTGGGGTAAAATAAATGCTCTTATTATAAAGACATGCCGGGGGAAATGTAATGTAAAGCAGTGCTTCTTGTACAATCTGAGGCCCACTTTATATCGGATATCACTCAGCCGGTGGAGATCGCTGATTTTTAAAGAAAACAGACCTTAAACGCACCGGTTTTTGCATTGGCATACAGTCCACCGGAGGCTCTTAACCCAGGTAACTGACAAATTAAAAGTCCCATTAGCATGCTTCGGCACATACCCCATACTTTTTCCTTGTGTCATTGCATTTTATTACACAAACCTTCATTTGTAAACTAATTAGTTTTGTTTCCTTTGCAAATATGGATTTCTTTGGTTGTTAACCAACATCCGGGGAAAATTCCAGATCAACGGCACCTTTAGAAATAGGTTTACTGAGAAAAATGTGGACGTGTTCAACACTTATTCCCCCGCTGTATGTACATATGAACTCAATCACCCTGTTGTGACATTTTGTATTATTTTTCTAATATTTTCAAAGTTATCAGCAAGGAAATATTCCTTGTCTTTTCTTTTCGCTTGCTTGTTTGGCTGTAATAATCTGCTAATGTCCTTGGGTCTCATCTTTTAATTGTATTTTTACGCACATTTAAACTTCTCACAAAAACATTCGGCCTAATTCCCAACCCGCGCACACGAGTCTGTTCTTAAACTGCTGTCAGGGAATTTGGACTTGTTCATTATTTTGGACTTGTTCTAAATCCCTGCTCACATAAACTGAGTTAGTCATTTGCATAACACACGCCCACATCAGCTCCATATAAGGGCTTTCCTCAAAGCGGCACTTACCAGAGTAAAATAAATACAGTCTCATTATGAAATTATAGCGAAAACTAAATCAAATGAGCTTTATCAGTAGTGAAGGTTTTGATGTGACCATCTGATCATGTCTGGGAGCTGACTCCAGCAGTAGGGGGCGTCATTGATCAGTCAGTGTTTTCTCACCCGGCCAGAGCTGCAGGAGGTAATGCAGAGCTTCAATGTGCCGTTTAAAGTCCACGGCGCTGTTGATTTCTTCACTGTGGGCAAAGCTGCGTCCCCCCCGCGAGGCCCCGGACCCCGGCAGGACCCCCCCGCACGCAGGAGCCGACAGACCTGCCTGCCAACACTCCTGACTGGGCGTCAGCAGCACCGGCCCGAAACACACCGCCAGATTCTGACACGTCATCCTGTTGCTGTCACTGTAGGACGCCACCAGACTCAGATGATCCAGCAGGAAACACAGAGTCGCCTTCAGGAGACACACACACACACATGAAAACCAGTGTATGTGACTGCAGTGAGCCGATCAGTGTGTGTGTGTGTGTGTGTGTGTGTGTGTGTGTGTGTGGGGTCTTACCCTCTCAGGCTCCGGCAGACAATGCAGCAGAGAAACGGTGCTCTGGGATTTCTGAGCGTCGCTGTCATTCCTGTATGCTGGACGAACCGTCATGGCCTCTAACACCACCTCATACAGGGTCCTCGTGATCAGCGGAGATGGCAGCTCACGCAGGTAGTCCTTTAAAATGCCTGAGCGCAAATTACAAACCAATAACCTGCTGCTTTACTTTACATAGAGCCAGAAACTCTTCAGCACAGGCTGATCTAAAGGGTTAATAATACTGCACACTGATGATCAACAGTAATAAAGACACACTTCACCACTTAATCCCAACAGGGGAAACCAGCAGCACTCAAGAATGCATGATTAAAATGTGATTATAATGGAAGTCAATGGGGCAAAAACAGTACCAACATAACCACTAAAAGGCAGTCACTGTGAACAGTACAGCAGGGTTAACTAAGACTAAATGAATGACATATTAAAATGAATGGTATCTGAGTAAGTGTATGGTGTAGCCCGTGTCTGACTGACCAGTGATGACGTTAACATCAGGATAGAGCTCCTCGTTTAATGTAACTGCTGCACTGTCTCGCTCAAACGCATCCCGCAGCTCCTTCTTCACCGCCGCAGAGCCACAGAGACGATACAATCCCACCACCTGCGCGCGCGCGCGCGCACACACACACACACACACACACACACACACACACACACACACACACACACACACACACACACACACACACACACACACACACACTCTTTTACCACAGGTTCATTTAATCCAGAAGAATCCTTTATACTGCAGACTTTAATTGAACAATATTTAATTGAACAGATGTCACTGAAAAAAAACATCGCTGTCTTAAGTTAAATATAAATCTTTATAAAATCTATTATTAATCTTTAGACTTGCCTATTTGTGATGAGTGTGTGTATTTCATCAGTTTTATATTTACTTTATTTGTTTATTAAAACTTTTATCTTCTGAATAACTATTTTTCTGATATCCTTCTGTATTTAAAGTGTAAGTTTTAATAGTGCTATATTAAAATGAATTATTCTTATCATTTTTTCCTTTCAGATTTTTAAAAAAATGTTTTATATTTTATATACCTCAAAGCACTATATTTTAATGTAAAATATGCATATTTTATGCTCTATGTAATATTTGTTTGATAAATATTATATAATAATAATTCCAGCAAGTTCAGACAACACAAAAAAACTGCCTTGTGCCTTATGATTAAATAAAAATCTTAAAATATTAAAAATAATTATGGAAAGTAAATGGGAATAGTTTTCAGTGGACTTTAAGGGCGTTTGTGTGAAAGAGTGTTTTACACATTGAGCATATTATAGACTCAGAACTTCATGTATGCATACGTTTGATCTGCATTGTGTTCAATTTACTTATTTATTTTTATTAAACACATTTAGAATCTTTGTATTTTCCCATTCATTTCCTATTGGTGGCCATTTTTGGGCACAAAGAAGAAATTAAAGTGTTTTTTGCCTCTTAAAGGGTCAGTTCACCCAAAAACATTTACTCTCTCTTAAATGGGAATAAACCTGTTTGAGTTCCTTTATCCTGTTAATTACAAAAGAAGATATTTTGAAGCATGTTAATAATCAAAAACCATTGACTTTTATAGTAAGAAAAACACATACTATGGCAGTCAATGGTTACAGGTTTCAGGCATTCTTCAAAATATCTGCTTTTGTGTTCAACTAAAGAAACAAACCATAAAGGTTTGAAACAAGTTAAGGATGAGTTAATGATGACCATTTGCATTTTGGGTGAACTGTCCCTTTGACATTGTTGAATGGAGTCTTCTTTTTGTGAGTGTTCAGATGCCAAACTTAAAAAGTAGCCAAGTCTGTTTAATGCTAAACCTCTAAATGTATGTTTTTTATGTCAAATATGCATGTTTTATGCTCTAGGCCAGTGGTTCTCATACTTTTTTCATCAAGTACCATCTCAGAAAAAAATGTCCCTCCAAGTACCACCATAATGACCAGTATTGAAATAAAGTAGCGTATGTCTAATTAAGCAGCTACAGCTCTGCAGTTTACAAATGTGGCAGATTAATTACTTTTATTAAAAATATTTATTATTCCCAGCCACTTTAAACCTTATAAATAGTTTGAACATTAACACTGCTGTGCTTATATGTAAAATAAATAAATAAAAAGTCAACGTTTAAATTAAAATGTGCTTTTAAAAGTTCATTAAAAATGGTGGGCTACTGTTCTTAACAAGTAAAAATAAATAAATCTGTGCTTGAATTTAAAGTGTTAACCTATAGTATCCTATTCATCAAAACCTGGAAATGTTGCTTTGACCTCATACATATAGGCTATATGTTATCATATTCATATATGAACCATTTTTGATCAATTTTAAATATGATCTGCATGTACAAATGACATATTGGATTCCTCTGCGTACCACTAGAAGGCAGCCCGCACACCACTAGTGGTACACGTAACAGTTTGAGAAGCCCTGCTCTAGTCTATTAAATATTTCATTTCCATCAGTAAGTTCAAACATCCCAAACAAAACAAATCATTTGTCCACTTTTGCTTAACATTTGTTTGCCTTCTGATTATATAAAAAAAAAATCAGAAAATACCAAAACTAACAATACAAATAAATCACAAAAGCTTTCAGTGGAGTTTTAGAGGTGTCCGTGTGTCATCCTGTTAAATTCTTTATATATTTTTTGGACACATAACTTTAGAAATGCTTTAAATTTGAGTATTTCCTAATCATTTTCTATGTGTGCTCATTTTCCTGGCACAAAAGACAAATTAAGGAGTTTCCTAAAAAACACTGAAAGGGACAGATCACCCAAAATAGAAAATTAACTCAATATTTACTCTATTATTATTATGAAGCAGTGACGCAGTAGGTAGTGCTGTCGCCTCACAGCAAGAAGGTCGCTGGTTTGAGTCTCGGCTCAGTTGGTGTTTCTGTGTGGAGTTTGCATGTTCTCCCTGTGTTCGCGTGGGTTTCCTCCGGGTGCTCCGGTTTCCCCCACAGTCCAAAGACATGCGGTACAGGGTGAACTGATCAACTGAATTGCTCATAGTGTATGAGTGTGAGAAAACACTGACTGATCAATGACGCCCCCTACTGCTGGAGTCAGCTCCCAGACATGATCAGATGGTCACATCAAAACCTTCACTACTGATAAAGCTCATTTGATTTACTTTTCGCTATAATTTCATAATGAGACTGTATTTATTTTACTCTGGTAAGTGCCGCTTTGAGGAAAGCCCTTATATGGAGCTGATGTGGGCGTGTGTTATGCAAATGACTAACTCAGTTTATGTGAGCAGGGATTTAGAACAAGTCCAAAATAATGAACAAGTCCCAATTCCCTGACAGC